TTGTCCTGCAGAGGGCAGCGAATAACAGAGAGGCAACTTCTCACATTGTTCTATTGAATGTCCTCTTAGATTTATGAGGGGTTTACAATCAGAAATAATCAATACAGGTATGTAAAAACAACTACAACCATTCTGTTAACCATGTTTGCATGTGTTTAACTCCTGTTTGTAGACCACAGGGCATGAGCAGTTACTGGTGCAATGAGCTGAGCGAACCACCAGAGGGGGGTAATTGCAAGGCTACAAGAAAAGAGTCAATATGCAGTTTTGAATAAGGAGATATTATGGAAAGTCTAATGTAATTATTAAATAAATGAATAAAAATGATCTGAATACCCAACCCTGCATTAGAATGTAGAAAGTATTTTCAGGATCTGGATTAAGAATCTGACATGTTTTTTACTTTTCACAAAAAAACAACTGCTCTGACACTCAGATTATGTCACTGATGTCAGCGAAGGACTGAAAACTATCCAACAACACCACCCCATTTTTATTTTTCTTCAATTTTTCTTTCTTTTATTGTTCTCCACTTCAGTCTTTTCAGACCTCCGTTCTCTCTTTCTTTCTTATTGTTTAATTTTTTTAAATCAATCTTGGCTTTCGGTCTTTTTCTTACTTTAAGACACTGAGCCGTCACACTGGAGTGTATTGTCCTAAACCAGGGAGCACTCCAGTAGATGGTTTAATTGGAGTGCCATCACTTAGGGAACAGATGAGGCAAAGTGTTAGAGCCATCTTTCAGCATTTGCCAGCACACACTATGAATAGAGCCCGTGTGTGTGGAAGTGGTGGTGAGGGGCTGTTAACGTTGCTGAAGAGACAAATCCATCTACAACTGAACTGAACATTTTTGCGGCGATTTATAGACGCACAGTTTTTGTGATTGAACTGGACAGACAGACGGGCAGACGACACCGGCTCTTTTCTTTTGCTTGTTGTTATTTATTATGATGTCATCACAGCCTCATTATTGCACATATCATAAACACGGAACTATTGCTTCGTGATAGACCAGTTCCAGAGTTCAGCTTGACCTCAGGTTCGTCTCGCCTGCAGAGATCCTGTGCTGTTTCACAGCCGAGAGGCCAAGGACACATTCTGTTATATAGCGGGGGCTATAGCACAGAGACCTTTGGAGAGCACATGGCAGTTGGCAGAGGCTGAATAGAGGAGCAATGTCTGTATAGTGGATGGCAGCTTGAAAAGGATATTCATGAATAAAGCCAATTAAGGAAGCTTCCAGAGAGAGTTACTGGATACATAACATGATAACTCAGATAGGTGACGCGTTTCAAAGTGATGCATTTTTCTTTGCATCTAAATTCCAATTTCTATTTTCCCACACACTCTCCAAATCCTTTATCTAACATCCCCTTATCCCTGTTCCAACCTCCTCAGGGCCGACTCGATGGCATGTGCTGCAGTGGGCACCCACATCTAAGTGGCTCAGTTCAAGTGTGGGCTTCCAGTCTGTCGGTCTGGCTTAGGTGGTCTTGGCTGAGACCGACTCCGTTGCAAGTTTCACACATTGGAGTAGAGCTGAGGTGGACAAAGGTGGTGAGGGAAAGGTCGAAAGGGTGAGGCGGGTTGTGAGAGAAAGGGTCAGAGGAAGAGTATGGGACTCTTGTCCGAGTCTAGTCCCCGGACTAAATGAGAGGAGAATCAGGGTTAAGTGTTCTATTTGTGCGGCCATTAAAAGCCGGGACTAGAGTACAGGGCCTTGCTGAGCCAAATCTCATCAGTCACTGCCAATTTGAATCAGGACCAGCAACCCGTTTTTTTCCTCTTTCTTTTCCTCTTCTCTTGGCCACTCCTCACCCCTCCTCCCACCCTTCTCTTCATGCAGACAAATAGACATTCCAGCAGCGGATGTGGTGGTGGTTGTCCATAGCAACCTGCCATGCAGGGTGTATCTTGTGGGAGCAGGACCACTGAGTGAATGGCTAAGCCTTCTTCTAACAAAGACTGTGAATCTCTGAGATGCTTTGAGCTTCCATAGAAGCGCTGTGACTTCTGGGCTGTGGGAGTGCTTTACATAATCCAGCAGCAGCTTCCCTCTGCTCTGCCACATCGCTCGCTCCTGCTGCTCTCTGCACCTAACACACACGCCCCAATGTAGGTCGGCTCGTCTTGGCGCATCCTCTGAAATTCTTTCAATCCATCATTCAGTGTGATAATCACAGGGTGCTGTTGGCGAGCGGCCGTGCAAAGGTGTGGACCAGTCAAGGGATGAATGTTCAACAGATCTGTCCGTATCTACCGAATTTTCACGCGGAGAAAATAGATTTAAAATGCTTGTCTGGGAAGGCAAATAAGTGATTCTGATCACATCTTTTTGCTGAAAACATCAAATGTAACAGTCACACTTTATTGTAGACAGCATGTTATATGTAAACATTTAAGATCAGTTTATTAATAATTTACTAACATCCTAAATGCAATAAACCATTGCACGTGTCCTCTCTTTAAAATGAAAAGTGCTAAATTAGTCCACTAATCAGGCTATTAAAATGTTCTTATAACAGCTTCATTCATGTATTTTTTTAGTCATTTATTCCACCCCCTCATAATTGTCATCCAGCAGAGAGTCTGCAGTATTTTCAGCCACAAACGGAGAGTTTGACGAGTATGGCTGTTTTGATAAATTTTATGTATGTTATGCATATGAGTTCTGCTCTAACATTCCTTTGTTAGCTAGGATCTGCCAGCAGCTGACATTGTGTGCTCTGCTTCCTCTCGTGAGCCTCTCTGGGACTGCCAAAGCCAGCTGCTCCACTGTGCCTCTCAACGTCAACACATTTAACACAGACATGTAAACTGCACACTTCAATAAGTCAGCCAGTCAATGACTTCGTCTTAATGGTATACGAGCTTCTCTTCCCTTCCCTTCTTTTTATTGAAGCTGCTAAACTGCAAAAAGTAAAACGCGTTTGATGGGTGAATATCAGGAATATCCATTTCACTTTTTTTAATAACAGACTGGAGAAAGAAGGGCGGCAGAGAAAGTCATTTTAACCTAGGGATTCCTAGGGAGTCACTGTTCCAATACTTCAGGTAAACAATCAATGGTAGAAGGCTTGGTAGGGAATAAAACTAACTGGCATAGTGTTGCCCTGAAGCATGTACTCTAAATTGAGTCCACTTTTACATTGACCAAACAAGGATTTGCAGCTGGTAATGTAAAAGTGTTCTCTTACAACCTCTACCTGGAGCTCTATCAAACATACATTAAGGCACATAGCCATATTCAAAACATCACCACATACTGTATCTATGGGGCACAAAAAACATAAGCTACCACTCCCCTGTAGTTGGAAAAAAAAATCAACATGTGTTCAGCAAAGCAGACTATTTTCCTTCATTAGCGTTTGAGTTATGCGGTCACTTAAAAGTTCATAATTCCGGGGTAAGACACCGTTTTGTTTTTTGTTGACAGAACCGCTGCAGCGCCGTCTGCGTCGACAGTTGTGAGGCTGAAGAAATGCATTTGTCGCACATTATCTTTTCAGCCCTGCTATTAGTTATTATAAGCAATCCATTACGGCGATCCTTCAAAGAAACAGCAGCTAAGGAGTGGGAGTGAAACGCTGCTGCTCTGGTGAACACATGTGTGGAACTATGGCCATTTAGATAAAGGGATTTCATGATTAGAAATAGAAAAAAAAAAGAACATTTGTATCAAAAGCAAAACATATTTTTCCAGCAAAAACAGCCACAATAGGTTCTTATACGGATCTAGGATGCGAAGCACATCTATCAAGATGTGAATAGTTGAATTCCAAAACTGAAAATCGTCTATGGGTTTGATGGAGGGTTTTTTCCGTTTTTTTTTTTTTTCTTTTTGTACATGTCCATTCCAGCTGTTCTAGCCTGTCCAGTTTATGCTTTTGTCCACATTCATTCTGGGGTTACAAGACTGTCAACATTGTGCTGTTTGAACCATCAGTAGTATAATATACAAATGTACAGATACACAATAGAAATGCATACATAATCGGTTATTACAATGAGACCTACAAAAAAGCATGAGAATAAAAAGTCTGTGGGATATTGCAGGTGAGGCAAGCAGAGCCACAAATGTGCATCCAGACTAAGGGACACAGCCCCTCCTACCATGATTAAGCGCATGTCTATTTACACAGCGTCATAACAAAGCTATCAAAAACAAAGGCTCCAAAAATTCCTCCTAAAAACTTTTTTTGTTCTTTTGTTTCTCTACATACAACAATGTCGATTCCATGTATATACATCCCTAGAAAATAATTTAATTATAGTTACACACTTTCTACATTTGTGAAACAATACAGTTCTAGTCCACAAGGAAGGTGTTTGTTTGTTTGTTTGTTTGTGTGCATGTGTGTGTGTGTGTATCGTATGTTAATGTTAACGTGTGTGAGTTTGTACAGTGTGCGCATGAGGCGGGGAAAAGATAAGTCGAGGGGGGACAATGTTCATCAATTGGCTAACAGTCGCAGGGGCTGATTTAGAGAGTGGACTGGATGTGGTCACAGGGAGGAAGTGGTGGAGTCGACAATTTCTCTCCCGTTGCACACAGTAGGGACGTAGTGGGCGCTGACAGAAGCTGGAAAAAGACACGGAACAAGAAGGTTGAATATAGAAGGTAATTATAAACAGGAAGACAGAAATCAGGCATTCTGAAATATTACATTTGTGCTCATGAATGTTCATGAAACTCTTCCTCAGTTAATGATTTCTGGTGGCAAAGCAATGAAAACATAAAGGAAGTATATATATTTGTCAAGTCATAGAATATAAACCTAAACCTTGACCTGATAGCATTTAACCTAAAACATCAAATTCACCATTCTGCAGTTAGTATGACCTCTGCAGCAAACATAGTTGTGTTAATTTATTTATTTATTTATTTATTTTAAATATAAAATCAAAGCAGTAATTTTGGCACAAGTTTTTTTTGGCACTTTTACTATTTGTAACGTTTTTTTTATTTTTTTACATACTTCGCTAACTTATTAAGCCTTAATGGCTCATTACGACTTCTGCTGACATTAGAAATTCTCAGCTGAAGACAACTCCAGAGCTGATAAATTCTCTGACTATTCAAACTTTGTGGAAACCCTCAAAAGCTATTGCCTGCTCTAAGCAACTACACGAGCATCTAAAAATAAGGCTAATTGACATCTATAAGGCAGAGGAAGGCCATAATAGACACCAAAGTGCCTCTGCTTGCAATTTCCACCGTCCAAAATGTCATTAAGAATTGGCAGTTGGGAGGAACTGTGGAAATCAAGACAAAATCTGACAGACTCAGAATCTTTTCAGATCAATCTGTACATCCGCCTGGCAGGAAGGCAAAGAAAATTCCCCATACGACTGCAAGGAAGCTGCAGGAGGGCTGAGCTGATACTGGAGTGGCTGCTTCATTGGTGCAACCCTAAACAACATTATCACAAAATACAATTTCTGAAGTTTGCACAGCAACATCTGAATAAACCAAAGTGAGGAAGAGACGACTTTGGACTGATGAAGTTAAACTGGAGCTCTTCAGCCACAATCAACAGGTACGTTTGTGGATAAGAGGAGCAGCGTTTGATGAAAAGAACACTTTGCCAACTGTTAAGTGTGGGAGTGGAAACACTCTGCTTTGGGCTTGCGTGGGAGTCAGTGACACAGGAAATAAGTTCCAGATAGAAGGAATAACAGATAATAAATGTAAAAAAAAATCTGAATGCAGGCATCATGCGTCATCATCAGTCAAGGAGCTGAGAGAGAGAAATAAGGTCGGCTTCTGTAACAAGACAACGATCCAGAGCAGGCTTGAAAATCAACTATTTAAAGAAACACATCACGCTGAATCTGCGGGGAGCTCTTAAACATGCTGTGAATGCAAGACAACCGAAAATATCTTAGAACTTGAAGTTGATTTGCAAACAGTCCGAAATCAAGAACAGAAAAGACTCTTGGCTGAATACTGAAAGCTGTGATCGCTTCCAACAAGTTATAAAAGTGCAAACTTGGACATATCACTGCTTCAAAGTTTACTGTTTATTGAGTTCATGAAATTAAAAATTAGTTGCAATTTGCCAGTGGATGTTAAAACTATTGCAAACAACTGTAATAGGAGGTCTACTGTTTTTGCAAATGTCTTTAAAACATCATCAAGATATAGTTTATAAGACTACATTGGGTGTTTAGTCATGCTAGGAAAGAAATTGCAAAGCCCGAGCATCTGATAACCTCTACAGGGTGAAGTTAGTAAGAAAACCAGTGAAGCCCAATTGAAATTTTAAACAGCGCAGTATTTGTAGAACACTGGGGAACCATACTAGTAAATAGGAAATAGGCACTAACTATACACCGCAAACACGATGTAAATTCAATGTAATGTTGCAGCAATTATAAAGAGCACAAATAGCCTTGTATTTATTTTATTGTGCTTGTGCATTTGAGACGAAGACGTGATACTAATGCAATCTAACCAATCATTAAGCTTTGTTAATGTAAAAAAAAAAAAAATCGACCCACAGCTTGTAAATGGAAACAGAGTCTGAAAGTAATAAACAGAGCATTACCGCCTACTTATGAGCCATTTAGAAAACACTTGCTTTGTCAAAAATTGCATCCACTTCATAGGATCATGCCTGCACTAATCTGGTGAGCTGGTAAACTTGTCAATAATACATTAAAGGTAACACAGTACAGTACAGTCAGTGTTTGTTGTGTTCATTTCTTTAAACATTAGATAACTGCATGCAACCTACCATGAGATGCGTATGTGGTCGCAGCCCCGCTGACACTGAAGCGGTTCAGGTTAAGCCTGTGACTGGTCACATTCTTCTGGGGCTGAAACATGATGATGTGGACCTTGGGAGCAAACATGCAGCCCAGAACCACGAAGCCGCTCAGGCTGACTGAGATGCACATGGTAGTGGTCTGGACCTGCAAGAAGGAAAGATGAGACGGCAGTAATTAGAAGCCAGACTTTGATAAATCTTGTGCTAATTTAGTTGCCGTTAAGAGCTAATTTGATCGTGATAATCTGTAATAATGAACATTTTCCAAAAGGCGCGCTCTGAATGCTTATTACAAAGAGCTTTAAATAAAATGCTAAATTACAGTCGGTGCTGATAAACAGCAGATTAAAAACAGACATGAAAATACTGCTGAAGATGCTAACTGATCTCTATGTGCGCACGCAGCCAATGATGCCTGTAAAGCAACTCTTTGTTGGCAGACTCTGTTGCCTTGTAACAGTCCAGAGGATAACAATTACAGAATCGATCAATAAAAAGACTTAATCAACAGAGACCACGGCTACAGGACTGAGAAGTCTCTCCCTGGCAGCTTTAACTTCACTCTCTGCAATTTATTGTTTGAACCCAACGCTAAGAACAACCTTATTCTCTCCAGACTCTTAATCACAGGTCTGCAGATTTGCATGTTATATGGCCTCCGTAATCACTGCGCAGAGAGAGGGTTGAATAACAGCTGCACAGTCGAGCACATTAGCAATCAGCCCTTCAACATCTCCTCTGTGTACGTATATCTTTACGCGAGTGGGTGAGTATGCATGTTAGTGATGTTATGCTTGTACCTGACTAATCTTAAAGTCAGATTACAAAGCCAAAAAAAAAAAAGCTTATTTCCAGCTAGAGAGAGCAGGATAGAGAGGTAGAGCGAGAGAGAGAGAGCAGAGAAAGTGAGATGTTTTTTATGGGGATCAAATGAGCAGCTCTGGCATCAGCACTCCTCCCTTGCACCCTTTGATACTCTGTGTGTTTGTGGAAGTGTGTGCTTGAGGTGTGTTTGTGTGCTTGAGATTTGTATGGCTCAGGTGAACACTCACTCCCCTTCGCTGTTAAATCTGGACATGTGTCAGCAGTTTGACGGAGCCTGTCTGTTTGTCACCCGAGGACTGCAGAGCTGGGACATTTGCCAACAGGATTAGAAATTGTTTAAGTTGCCACTACACCTGCGCTGCTGCTGTTTTGCTACCTGTGCATCTTTATTAGTCATGTTGATGTGAGAAAAACTGACTCGTGGAAGGTAAATCTTTAATTCTATTGTGAGAAGAACAGGACATTTAAGAGCTATGCATGTTTAACCTTCACATTTTTCTAGGTGGACAAATTAAACTGCATGTATGAAAGTTTGGACAGAGCCAGGAAATATGTTTTCCAGTCTTTATCCAAGGCTAAATTGACCACCTACTGGCAGTGGCTTTATATTTAGCATACTAGCGTCTTCTCATCTATTGCTACTAGAAAGAATATCTAAAAATATCAGACTTTTCCTTTAAGCTTTCAGGGTTACATCAGTTGCTTAGATGTCAATGCAATGTCAAACTCAAAAAACTTGTGCATGTGTGTGTAAGAAGATACCCTGTAGTCACTAGATGTAACGTAGAAGATGGGAAGAAAGGCCAGCCAAATTATACAGGTGGTGTACATGGTGAATCCGATAAACTTGGCCTCATTGAAGTTCTCAGGGCACTTCCTGGTCTTGAAGGCATACCTGCAGGGGGAGAATCATATTTCTGATTAGACAGGCACCATCTGGAAAAGTGCCAATACCTACTCTATTGAAAAGAAAACGTACAAAACTGAAAATAAAACCTGATTTGTAATTTTTCTAAGAGCCCAGCGCTTACTGATTTAAAGTGCCCACGATGGAAAACATAAAGCATGTTGGACAGTGCCTTTTACGTAATTGCATTGCCAATCAGCTCAGCTATGACACACTTACACAGTACACAGGATGACCAGGAGCACATCATATCCCAGCGACAGCAGCATGCTGGAGTCGCGTACGTTACACTTGAGGATGACAGTCTGCCGTCGCTCGGGCAACGTGAAGCGCCGCGTCCCGGGAACCTCCAGCAGCAGCCAAACTGACACCATCACTAACTGGACGGAGATTAGGCTCAGACAGATGAAAACCTGAAAAAGGAGGGAGGAGAGGAAGGTAAGGTCATCAAGATCCACCGCTTGTCTGTCCATCCATCCATCTGGCTGATGCAGATGGATGGACGTGATGCCGCAATCACTCACCTGAGAGGATGGACTAATGAAGCGTGGCCTTACTGCACCGGCTCCGTCTTTCACGCCATTGAAAATCCTGGCGATTCTGTTGGTTTTGGTAAGAAGGGCGGAGTAGCAGACAGCAAATGATGTGCCCAGGCCGAGGCGCCGCAGGGCACAGATGGCAGGAGAGGGTTTGGCCAAAAAGAGGAAAGTCATGGCGTAGGACATGAAGACTCCCGAGAGGAGGATGTAACACAGCTCTCTGCCTGATGCTTTCACCAGCGGTGTGTTGTTGTGTCTGATAAACACCCAGAACACCAGGCCGGTGCACATGAAGCTGGGGACAGAAGCAGCCAGAAGACAGTCAATGTCATAAAGTCACTGCTTATATTCTGTTTCACAAGTAGGGTTGGAATATACATATGAAGAGATAACTCCATCTTCACAAACCTTCAGAAAACCTACTTTTCCATCATCTACATCAATCAAACAAGTTACTTCTACTTTTTGTTTGTCATTTCTACTGAGTCAAATCCACTCAACTTCAGTTTGATTGATATTATCTCAAGCAAACAACAAAAAAATAAGTTTTCTGAAAATCTACAAAAACTGAGTTATCTGTTTTTGCAAATGAACTCTTCATAATCAGAAAATTCTTGACTATTAACGTAGGCCCATGTCACCATCTACCTGGAAAAGTAAAGTGGTCCAAGCAGTTTGAATAACAGAGCAGTAAATGTGTGTCATATCGAGTCTTGGCAGGCACTTAGCCCGGGCAATTTTCTAAGTGTTGCAAACTACATCTGCCAGCTTTGCTTTCTCGCACAGCAAACATGGAGCATCATCACAGCAGATTCACCACTTGTGTTTCTGAGTAAGTTTTGCAACAATGGGCCCTCGATTTGAGGAATCCTTTGTCACTCACCCTACACAGGCGATGGTAATTGGACCAATGGCCCAGGCGTCTTCCCACATAATGTAGTCCTCAGGAAGGTCGTAGCAGGAGGTCAGGTCATCGGTGGGCCACTGGCCAGGAGCGCAGGGCGAGCAGGTGAACTCATCAGCCAGGTATTCATGAGGCTCACAGGCTGTACAAATCCAGCAGCAGTACTCACCTGGGAAATAGGAATATGAACAGAATGTGGTAGTTTGTGAGTTTTTTTTTCAGGAGACACTGCGGTTTGGTATGACGAATAAAGAAAGCTGTTGGAATTCACTGTCCTACCTGCCTGCATTTTCTTCATCTCGTTGCGTTCGCAGGGGTCGCTGCACTGCGAGGTGGGCACCACGTCTCTTGGCCAGCGAATCAGATCGCTGCTCAGACTCAGGCTCTCTGCCCATTCGCCCACCGGCACGTAACCATAACGATCGCCAGAGCGCTGGTAGCTGAAGATGTTGTATCGGCCCATGCCGTCCCCCTGGGTGTCAAACTTCACTACTGTCTCACTGCCAGGAGGAGAGAAAGGCGCTGGAGGGGGGGTGAGAAGAGACAAAGAGTGGGACAAAAAAGTAAAAAAAAAGGCAGTGAGAAAGGAGATCAAAGCTAAACAATCAGGAACAATCATGCCATTGATGTCTCATTGATGCCTTTTAAAAGCAGCAGAGACAATAAACAATGGTCAGCTAAGCCTTAGGAGTCCAGAACAGACACTGAAGGGCATAACAATAGCGTTTTCATTACTGAAGACCAGCCAGTTACAAAAGTATTCGCTAAGAGGCTATAAATGCCAGATATGCTTAGTGATGTGTGTATCACTGGCATCCCATCCTTCCCTAAAGTCAAACAGGGACATGATTGCTGGTCTAAAATCTGGTTTGATAAAGTTTATTACCGAATGCATCATTAACAAACTGCCCATAAAGTCATGTAGCCATGAAGGTAGAGGACTGAATCCCTGGGCGATGCTATAGCTACCCACACATTGATGGAATTAGCCTCTGGGTCTCTTCTGTGAGGGAGGTACACTGCTGAAACTGCCAAATTGGTTTGTATACATGTTATGAAAGGATTACCATCTACCCTGAGGATGTGGGAACAGAAGAGATTGTAAAATTGGCAGGATGCTGAAACCATTAAAAAAAAAAAAAGAACAAGAAAAGGGTTTGTGGACTGGAACAAAAAGTAACTTCCTGATGCGTTGCAGGCGGCGGCGTCGGACCTGACAGTGGTGACACTTGGTGGTTTTGACACAGACAAAGTGCGTGTCACTCGTACAGTGCCACTTCAGTCCTTACAGCAGAGCAATCAACTCTGTGTTGCTGACACATAGGGTGGTATGTTATACGCTGGCGCCTGTCAAATGATGATGTGACTGGGGATAGTGCAGTGTGTGCCGCTTTATGGAGCATCACTCTTCAACGTATAACAAGGCTCTCAGTCCTCAGTGCGCAGCAGCAGCAGCATTGATGATACCGCGCTGCTGCCGCCTTCTTCATATTTACCGTGTCTTTGGGTAACTGAAAGAAATCGAAGCCCAAATTCATTCTCCATACATACAGCTTGGGATCAGTGGAATGAATCAGAATACAGATCGCAAATAAGCTGTTGGGCTGAGAAGTGTGTGTGTGTGTGAGGATGTGCACACAAGTGGAGGCTCCATTAGGTTTTGCTTTACAGTGTGATGGCTAAGGTATTGCTCTGAGCGCTGTGGGAGGCTGTGCTGACAGAACCAAAGCTCTGACCCCGCTGTTAGTTGCGTGTGTGTGCGCGCCGACGTGTGTGTGTGTGTGTGTGTGTGTACGTGCGCGCGTGCAACACTGACAGCGGCTAAAGCTGTGCTATTGTTGTGAAAGCTCTGTGTGTTCAGAGAAGAATGGCGTGTCAGATGGCAGCAGAGGGGGTTAGGGTTTATGAAATCCATAAATCACAGAGACAGCACAACCCTCTATCTTCCTCCTCTCTCCCTTTGTCACAGGAAATTCCAAGTGTCAAGTCTTCTTTGGATTTCGGGGCTAAATGTTTCGGTGACAGCTAAATGAAAATGATTTCAATATAAAAGTGCTGATAATATCTTGAGACGAGGAAGAGATATGAATCCATTATACCACAAGTTGCCAGATAATAAAGTCAGCTAATAACACTGAGCAATAATGCAAGCCGGGCCCTCCTCCTCCTCCTCCTCCTCCTCCTCCTCTTAGACACTCGTGCACATTTGCAGAAACACTTCGCCACTAGCTAATTATCATAACTGCACCTTATTAGGACCTTAGATGTGTGCTGAAGCCTAATTAGCTGCATGTGGTAATTATGTGTAATAGCTACAGACTAAAGAGATAACGGCATTGGCCTACAGACCCATTTGAGGGTGCTGTTCTGCCCTTGACTTCGCCTGTAACCGATCGCGTTCGGGAGCAGTAGACTCACAGGACTGGTGATTCCTCCCTATAGCCAACATCAGCGACCTTGCTGACGTGACAGAATGGCTTATCAAGAAAGTGTATGAGGGTGCAAGTTAGCGCTGGCGAAGGCCACCAAGATTCCTCTGACTGCAGAGAGCGGAGACAGGCAGCCCCGGTCCTTGACTGATGGACGGCATTCTCTCTCCTCATTGCCGTCCGGGGCTAAATTTAAAAATATAGTGAGCTCCAGTGGCCAAGGATTTCTGTTTTGAGGCTAACACTGGCATGCTAACACATTTGCAATAACAATTCGGAAGTGTAGCAGGTACAATAGCAGGCACACAACATCTTAGTTTACCTCCCAGCATCCTAACATTTGCACCTAGTTGGCACTGAACTGTATTAACCAAAGTAGTTTTGGGGCTAGTAACCCATTTAGGTTCATCCTCAGGGGAATATGAATGTCTGTGTCAAATTCCATTTCAATTCATCCCATAGTTATTGAATTATTTTAGTCTGGATCAAATTGGCGGGCTGACAGACAGGCTGACAGACTGACTTTGCCATCGTGCCGCTACAGGCTACAAAGCATGTGAATTTCAAGTGAGCGACTAGAAGGAATTCTGTCCCTCAGGTATACCTCTCGACAGCACGCTTCTGTATGATGTAACTGCAACGAACCATGAACTGAACCAATTCAATCATTTGAAGAATTGGATGTGGCGACTGCTTCCTACCAGAAGCTCGTAGGCTTTCCTGCGGTGTCTTAACACTTACAGTAAACCTAAAACAAGTGCTGATAGATGAGCCTGTGTCACCTCATCCATACAATGCTTCAGCTCGGTCCAGCTGAGACCCACAGCGGGGACCGCCCTCAGCAGCTCACAGCTCTGAGTGACTTTCCGCGCCTGTGTGGTGTCGTCAGCATCCAGAGGTGGACCATGACTTCTCAAATCATCCATGTTGTGTAGCTGTAGTCAGTACTGGGGGTGTCTGACAGGGTTAAGCAAATTATAGGCTTACATCTTTAATGTTAACAAAACAAAGTGCAGTTTGTGCACACTGACTGTCCACATCCTGCTGCTTGTCTTAGAGGATCAATAAAAATCTGGCAATTAATCAAACAGCAGAAGATGACACATTTAAAAGTGCAATAATAACAAATGAAGTTAGCAGAGACAAACTGTGGTTATAAGGCGGCCGAAACCAAATTCCTAATTTCTGAGTTGCTTGAGCATTCCCACTAACTTGAGAAACACCTTATTATTCCAGCTTAATTAGAAGCATGGTGAAAACAGGCTTTTCATTCAGAAGCTGAGAAATTAATTATGTTCTCGGCCATGTCGGGCCAAAGCGAAGCCCAAGGGGGATTGTGGGTATTAAAGGCGGGGAGAGGGAGAGGAGGCAAAAGGGGCTTGGGAGGAATAAGTAGGAATAAGTAATCTGAAAGTGGAGAGAGAGAGAGGAGCAAAGAAGGGGAATCTTTTCCTTGCGCGAGGATGTGAATGCACACAGTATAAATATATATGCAGGGACGCTCTCAAATGTCACAACGGCACACGCAGACAGATCACATTAGCTGTATTTGTTCTCCCTATAGATTCAGTCCCAGGGGACGGAGGTACTGCTTCGGATGGGTCACGGAGCAACAGGCCACGGGGGAATAGGAGGGCGGAAAAGAAAGTCTGAAATAAAGGAGAGAAAAGTATAGAAGGGAAGGTGTAGCAGCACAAGAACTAAGGCTTGACTGAAAGAAAGGTGGCGAGATAGAGGAGACAAAAGAAAGGCAGGCCAAAAAAAACAGGAGGTTGCCGGGGATGGAGGATGAGGCAGGAGACAAGATAAGGGGCGGGAAAAAAAAAAAAAAAGGGAGGTAAGTGACAAGGGAGAAGAATGCGAGAGAAAAAAAAAGAGAGGAGATAGCAAAGGGGAATAGCAAGAAACTGATGTCACGGCAGCAGAGATATAGGTGGATGGAGGAAAGCCTTTAGAGGGAGGAATCAATAGAGAATAGGTGAAGGGTGGATGGAAGGATGAGCAAAGTGAAGGAGTGGAGGAACAGACCGGCGCAGAGAGGCAGTGGAGGCAGGAGAGCAACCTTGTGAAGTCTGAGTGGGATGTGCTGTTTTTGAATGTAGAGAGAGAGAGAGAGAGAGAGAGAGAGAGAGAGAGAGAGAGTAGGACACTTTCTGGGTGAGAAAGAGAAGGGAGAGATATAGAAAGATAGAGTGATGAAGAGCAAGAGAGAGTGACAGAGAGAGGAGAGAGAGACGGAGACGGAGAGACAGAGGAAGAGAGCGAAGAGAAAACGAGGGAGAGAATGAGTGAAGGTTGTTCTCTAGCATCTAAACGTTGCAGTAAGCTCTCTGCTCAATATGGCCCTGAAGGCACACCGCCTCTGCTAACACAGACATATCACACACACACACACACGAATACACACATACACACAAGCGCAGAGAAGGGGGAATATCACATCTATCACCACTATTTGAACAGAAGACTGCATGCATGTGTGTATATACTGATCCGTTTGCTGCAGATCGGGGAGGTGGATGGGTGGGAGTTGAATGATGGCTTTGAAAAGTGTGTGGGTTGGGGGTGTCTGCAATTTCATGCTGGTAGAAAAACAAGCATTTCAAGCTGCCTCTTTGTCGAAAAAAAAAAAGAAAAAAAAAGCTGACTATTTTGCACGTGTTTGCGTGTGCGTGCGTATGCATGTCTGTGTTTTGTGTTTGAAGTATGTGGCAAGGCCTCGTGAAAAATGCACAAATATGCCCTTCGTGTCTATGACGAGTTGGTATGGAGCAGTTCCCATGATCTACCAGATCACTTCAACAATTGGCAACAGTGTCGGCTTCATTACCATAGCAACTAGCGAGATGAGACTAGATGAAGAGAGCCGCATATGAAAACACCCTCCTAACCGCACAACATACTGCCTCAGTGCACCACATACACCGTCAGTAAAACACAACAAAACAAGCCTCATCACGGTTAAAGACACAGTCCGCCGTGTTGTGATTTTAAAGTTAAAGACGGCACTTTATTTGGACGCGCGGGGAGACAGAAGGGAGATCAAAGTTTGACGTAATGCAAAGAATGTGCATCGGACATGCATGTGTGAATAAGAGAAGGAGAAAATGGGAGAGAGACAGAGAGCGCTGAACACTGTTGGTTTTCCGTCTGCTACAGTTCAGACTGAGAGCACTGCGGATGGTGATGCTGCAGTATTTATACACCAAATTCAACCTCAACTCACCTCAGCTTCTTCCTCACATAACTGTAGATGGAAAGATGTATATGTACAGCAGTGAGAGTGAGTCATTCAGGGCTAACCAACAACTCAAAACAATCGCTTCCACAGTGCGCAGTCTAACTGTACCGTCATCCACATCATCTGAGCCCTTATCAACATCGTCTCCCTCAATGCTTTTTTACCAAATACAGCTGTTTGTCATGCTGTCACCATTGTCACTGACATTGAGACGCAAAGAACTCCAGATCCTCGCATATGCTGTTATTCTCTCCGACTGCGGAATAAAGACGCGCGCCTCGTGGACATACATCAGTGGTGAAAAGAAGGGAACGACGGCGGTAGAGGGGAGTGTAAGGGAGAAAGATGATCAGATATAGAGATGTAGGAAAGTCACAGAGGAATTCTCCTCCTCTCCTCTCCTCTCGTCTCCTCTCGTCTCCTCTCCTCTCGTCTCCTCTCCTCTCCTCTCCTCTCCTCTCCCAAAACTTACTCCAGAGCATTTTTAAAAAAACTTTCTTGTGTGTGAATTTGCACATCTATTCCATTCCTCTCTGTATGTTTCCTACACCAGAGCGGTATCATCTTTGCCAAGTGGAGGATGCGACTGCAATCCCCTTCACTGTTTCCTTCCCTCTCTATCTTACTCTTCCTCTCTCTTTCCTTCTTTCTGACTCCCTCCTCTCAGACAGAAATGCTCCAAGTCCTTTGATTTGTAGCAGAAATGAAGATGGGTAATTTCAAAGAGAATCTTCTTCTTCTGCTGACGCATGCTGTCCCACTCCGGAATTGCCTCGGCGCTCACTTGTTCTTCCCCTCCTTCCCTCCCTATCTCTCTTTCTGTCTTACTCCCTTTTACCTCACTCCAAACTCACTTTCCTCAGTTTAGTCTGCCTGTCAGTCTTATCTGTAAGCCTCCTTCCCCCTCCTCCCTCCGTACGTGATGCCATTCTCTCGTCCTCCAGCCATCCCTACTGCTCTCTCTCTCCCCAACGTCCCATGGCAAAGCTGCCGTGTTAGTGTTGTTTGTCTGGCTGTTTTGATGTCTGCTCCTGGTCACGGTTGGTGGAGGAATAAGCACCTCTAAACCTGTGTCAGTCCCTGAGACACAGCAGTTTATTTATAACGCTTCCTTTGTACACCATCTGTCAGTCAAGCCAATCCTCTGTCTCTTCTCTCCCAACTCTACAGAGACTGACAGACAGACAGGCAGCCCGCTATAGGAGCTATTATAACACACACAATCTCATTAGTGCGAGAGAGAAGAATATGGCTGACGGATTAACTGCGGCTCTCATTCCTCAAAGCAACTTTGTAGTGTCGTATCAATTACGCATGGGTAAAAGGTGTCAATGGCAAGCTGGCTCTGACAATACGTAGCAATTAAGCAGATTTGTTTCAGTACTTTTTATGTTCTGTGGCTTGGCTGCTTTGGCTGAGGAGAAGGACAACATCCCCTGTGTTGTTCATTAGAGGACTGTTAACTAGACACTCACATTCCCTGTCCACTTCTTGCTATCTTTCCCCCTTTCCTCCCCAACTCCCTCTCCAACACTCACTTCTTTTCGCTCTTCATCCACCTTGAACACCTTATCTAGGACTCTTCACTCTGCTCGCCATGCTCCAGCTCTCTTACCTGTGAAACTGACATTAAGGATGTAATCCCTGTAGAGTCTGCGCCCGTCCAAAGCCTTCATGCTGTCACACAGCTTGGTGGTGTTGAAGCACAGGCTCCGTTGCATATAATGGAGGGCATGAGCCATGGCGTACACCGCGTTCACCACAAACATGATCTTGGACTCTGGTTCAAAGGAACTCTTGTCCATTGACAAGTCCTTGTCACATGGTGGAGGAGGTGTCTCTCCCAGTCCCAAATTTACTGGCCCCAAGGAGCACTGGAACCGCTGCTCCCAGAATTCCTTGTACCAGGGATTACGATGGTTTTTGACAGGGTTCAGACTGAGGAAGTAGCGGTTGAATTCTGCTATGGGGTTGGCTGCCAGCTCAAGTGTGATGGCTCCTTCGGCGGTGACCTCATTTCCCTTGACAATGCTTTCCTGTGCACCCCAGCCATCGCTGGCCACCCAGATGAAGGAGGTGTTTAGCCGAGCAGCAGCTGCCAGCAGCTCTCTGGCATCGTCGCTACGAAGGAAAAGGACGGCCACACGGGCATTTGGCTTCTGGAGAAGCTGGCGGATCACAGCTTCATAGGACTTCTTCGCATTAGAACGCCCCACCTGGACACAAAGATGACAAAATGTAATGACAGACGCACACAGATGTTATTTTTAAGTATGTATTAACAACGTTCATAGGAAGAAACAAGCAAAAAAAAAAAAAAAAGTGTCCTACAGTCTCACACCAACATGAATCTCTGCAGCAAATAAGATGAAATATGGGACTGTGAAAATACCCAGAATGAGTTCTTGGAGATAAGCTTTCATTTTCTGGTTCACAACTGATAACACCACTGTTATATTAAACCACATTGGAGCGTAATACAAGATAAGACAGAAAGACAAACTTTTCTAAGCTGACAAATTTAGCGGCTTGTTAATTGTTGCTGTTGCAGCTGCAGGCCATACATCAGGGTGACAGTCCAGATTAAAGTTTGGGTTTTCAGGTCTTTTTCTTTGAGTTGCTTATATTCATACAGTTTGGGCCCCAGAAATGTACTCATATTCTAATGCCATACCTTTTCTGAAGTGGCAATGCAGATGTTCCTCATGCGGGCCTCTTGTTCAAAGGCCTCTATGCCAGTTTCACCATAATCGCCCTCCGATGCCACGGTGGACACGTACGTCCAGTTGAAGAAGCGCAGGATCTCGGCCATGGCTTTGGCCTGGTAGAAGTCAGGGGGCACGGTGCGGGCGAAGTAATCGTAGCGCGTCTTATCACTTAGCTTGGCACTCGTTGAGGCATAGCTTATCTGAGGGATCTGAAAGAGCCTGAGAAGATTGGCAACCTGAAGGGAGAGATACAGCAAAATGAGATACAAATCAGGTGAAATAATTCCAAAAGTTCGTCTTGCAAAATGAAACTATCCCAACCTTTCGGTATCGTATGATCTTAAAGCTGCAGTGTGTGATTTTTACATATAAATAGAGTTTCGGTATTTTCAAGACCTTGCCAAATGAGTTCACGCTATGCCGATAAAGAATTTCAGCGGCAGGTAAATCTCTCCGTATTTCACATTATGCTAGAGTTTTATGTGTCTTGTCTGTGGCGACATTCACGCTCTGGTGCACCGGCGGTGTCTCGTTTTACATCAACTGGCAATGATTGGTTTGCCAGAGTTGAAGATGTTAGCACACCGGAGCTAAAGAAACAGAGAAGGTTACAACAACGAGAAGAATGGCTGAGCTTAGAAAGTGTTCTGATGGTCGAGATATAAAAAAAAGAAAATCAGTCATCAAAGGAAGGATTACATTTAAAAAACAAAGTGATTTGGGTGGGGCATTAGCACACGTCACCAGTGTTTGTGTAATTACTCGCACTGCCAGAAGGGGGAGACAAAAGTTCCACACTGCAGATTTAACACTGATTGACCAATAATTATTTTTCTGTGATCTAAAATGATAAGGTATATTTTGCTAATGTTTCAAATTGAACACTATCAACCCATGGAGGACTGACAGGTCAAAAAGGACAACTCCTGGCTTATGTAAACACTGCAACTTGATATGTGACGTGAATTAAATCTGCTGCCTCTGAATCTTATTGATTCATTTATGTAAAGCGAAATAAAAATGATTTTCTTCAAGAAAGAGACGCCCGACAGTTCCACAGCAGTCAAATACACAGTTTGAAAGAGCACGGTATCATTCCGCTCTGCGATGTGGAACTGCATTAAACACGAGACCGAATGCAGTCAAGCAGCTACTTGTAGTGTTTACAGTGCAAATGTTTGGTGAGGTAGCAGCCAGAGAGTCAATTACTGTACAATAATTTTTGGAGGGCACTTGAAAGTGGTGTGCAAGTTCACAAAAAGAGGAGAGGACTGGAGAACACTCAAGAAGTAGTGAAGCAAAAAAAAAAAAAGTATATGGGATGAGAAATCGTTCTGCATGTGGCAAATATGGATTTCATTAAGACAGACTAGGTATACCAGAATTAACCCTTTTCTCTGATATCTGCAAACCAAATAGTGCTGCGAAGGATGTGTTCACGCCTGAGTTTTCTTGAAAAGTACAAACATGATTAATTTCACAACAAATGTTCAGATCAATGATGCCAATAATGCCCCTGCACCATCGCTGGAACGCTGACAGAAACTATCTGATCAATGCTGGAACACTCACAAAAAAATAAAAACGAAGTAAACAAATGAGGGTTTCGCTTTCTAGAGAGCTTCTGTCTCTCTTATTTGCCAGTGGGGCAAAGGGCATCTCATCAACTGAAACTCCAAACATGTAAAACCAACCATTTGCAGCACAAAGCTCACTTAAAACAAACTCCAGTGTCTTAATGAAAAATCCATGCTGGCTAACAATCTGCAAGAGGATTGCTAGCCAACACTGAAAAGAAACGGGAAAAAAAACACATCAAAGACAATACTAGCAATGAGAAAGTACAACAGAGTTGCTCAACCTACACTATCAAAAGGCAGGGTTGGTGTTGTTGTGTTATTTTGGTCTTCCTTTGACCACATGGCCCATATTGGAGAGTTCATGAGAGTCTTTGGCATTCTGACAAAAACTTGGAATTAAAATCCACACAAAAAAAATAACTGGATTGATCCTTCAATAAATGTATTTTTTTTTTCATCAAAGGAAAAATGACAACATATTTAGAGGGTTGCTGCTAACAGAAATTGCTTCATGCATAATGTGGCTGTTTGAAGATAAAATACAATGCAGCAAGTACGTATGCGCATGTTGAAAGAGCGCACACACACACACACACA